CAGAAAGCTCCTACAGCTGATAAACACCATTAGCAAAATGGCTGAATGAAAAATGAATTCAAAGACATCTGTAGCCATCTTCTTCACAAGTGATAAATGGGGTAAGAAAGAAGTTAGAAAACAGTATCCTCCACAATAGCCACAAATAATATACCACACTTTGGTGTAATTCTAACCCAGCAAGTGGAAGGCATGTATGAGAAGAAGTTCAAGTCTCTGTGAAAAGAAATTTAGGAAGATATCAAAAGATGGAAAGATCTCACATGCTCATGGATCAGTAGGATTAACATAGTGAAAATAGCTATCTTAACAAAGACAATGTACAAATTCAATATGACCCTCTCAAAATTCCTAAACAATTCTTTACAGATCATGAAAGGAAAGTTCTCAACTTCATATGGATAAACAAAAACCCCAGGATAGCTAAAACTATCATAAACAGTAAAAGAGTTTATCAAGGTATCACTATTCCTGAACACAAGCTGTAACCATCGAGCAATAGTAATAAGAACTCTATAGTATTGGTATAGGAACCATAAGAGGATCAATGGAGTTGAATCAAGGACCCAGAAATAAACCTACATACCTACAGATACTTGGTGTTTTGAAAAAGATACCAAACCTATAAAATGGAACACAGAGAGCATCTTCAATATACTGTGCTGGTCTAACTAGATGTCTGCATGTAGAAAAATGTAAATTGATGTATATTGATCACCCTGCCCAAAACTCAAATACAAATGGATTAAAGGCCTCAATGTAAAACCAGATACACTAAATCTAATAGAACAGAAATTTGGAAATAGCTTTGAACTTGTTGGTACAGAAAACAACTTCCAGAAAAGAACACTAATAGCTCAAACATTAATAAATGGGACCTTGTGAAACTAAAAATACTTGTAAGCCAAAGGACACTGTCAGTAAGATAAAGTGACAGCCTACAAATTGGGGAAATATCGTCATTAACCCTACATCTGACAGAGAGATATCTAAAATTTATAAGGAACTCAAGAAGTTAAACACCAACAATCTACATAAACCTATTTCAGAACAGGAGCACAGTGTTAAACAGAGAATTCTCAACAGAAGAATTTTGAATGGCAGAGAAACACCTAAGGAAATGTTAAAACCCTTAGTCATCAGGGAAATGCAAACCAAAACATCTCTGAGATTACATTTTACATCAGTCAGAATGACTAAGACCAAACCTCAAGTGATAGCATATGTTGGTGAGGATGTGAACAAAGGGAAAACTCCTCTACTGTTGGGAATGCCAACTTGTACAACCACTCTTGAAATCAATTTGGTAGTTTCTGAGAAAATTAGAAATAGTTCTACCTCAACACCCAGCTATATCACTCCTGGACATATATCCAAAAGATGTTCCACCATCCCACAAAGACACTTACTCAACTTTCTTTATAGCCACTTTATTTGTAATAGCCAGAAACTGGAAATAACCTAGATGTCCCTCAACTGAAGAATGGATGGAAAAATATGGTTCATTTATACATTGAAATACTACACAGCCATTAAAAATGGACGTTATTCTTTAGTTTGTGGTTTAGTCCCTGGGAGCTCTGGGGAGTCTGGTTGGTTGATATTGTTGTTCTTCCTATGGGTTGCAAACCACTTCAGCTCCTTCAGTCCTTTCTCTAACTCTCCCACTGTGGTTCCCATGCTCAGTTCAATGGATGGCAGCAAGCATCCTCACCTGTATACAAATGTTGAGGCAACAAGAATATCTGTGCTGTTGTATAACAGCAAAATTATCCATAGGGTTTTACAGAGAGACAATGATTATGCAAGATTAATTAAATTTTTTCCTTAGCATAGATAGTACATCTGCCGTAGCACAATTTTTAATATTTCTAATTTTAATCATATATATATAATATCTATCTATCTATCTATCAATCAATCTATCTATCTTTCTATCTATCTTTTTCTCTCCTTGCCACATATGTGTGTGTGTGTGTGTGTGTGTGTGTGTGTGTGTGTGTGTGTGTATGTGGTATGTATTTGTTCTTGTGGAGACCAGAAGCTTCACAGATCCCCTGGAGTTAGATTTACATGAGGCTGTCTGGCTCCTGAAATGGGTGTTGAAAACTAAATTTTGGTCTTCTGCAAGAAAAACATGTGCCTTAAACTGATGAGTTATCTCTCCAGCTAGCCAGACCTCCACTGCCAAAAAATGTTATCTCTTAGCAAGGTTCATGGACTTTTAGCATTCAACCTCAGTAGATGATTTTGTTTACAGAATTGTCCCCATGCTCTTCCCACATTGAACACTCATGAGAAAAAAAAAAAAATATATATATATATATATATATATATATATATAAATATTTATATATATATATATATAATGTTTCCGGGGCTAACCATTTGGTATTAGATAACTAATTGGTATATTCCTCTTTGAGGAAGAACATTCATGGTATGAATTTTTACTCCTGCTGTCATGCCAGATATTTGTATTATGTGTTTTATTAGTAAACCTCATTAAAAGTAACCTCAAAGATTAGGTAGTTTTCAAAACCACTTCTCTGAATTTTGATTTTAAGAAAAAAACAGGAGATTCTGTCCCCAATCAGGTTCCACTCACTAGAAGATCTGAAACACCTACAGGATCAAAAATGCTGTAAACTTCACTATCTAAAGTAAACAGTTACATGGAAAATGTCCATATGTGAAAAAGGGAACACAGTGAGGGGCAGGACTCACAGGGACATAGAGGCCTCAACATCAGGGAGAAGGAAAAAGAGTCTGGGTTGCTCCTCTTGGAGGAGAGAATCAGATACAGCTTCCAGAAGAATAGGCATGTAGATGTGACCTACAGGACAATTGCAGCATACCCCATGGGGTACACTAATGATTATTCAGGGTAAAGATATTGATAGGTCAGAAAGGGCTAAGATGTGCAAAGTCCATGGTGGAATCATTGTTCAAAGATCCTTAAGGTTGGGATAAGAGATCCTCAGGCAAATGCCACAGATAGTTTGAGTCTCATTTTCACCTGACCTTCTGTACCCTGCTTATAACTTGATGCTAGGATCTTTTGTTTAGTTAATTGGTTTTATTTCCTAATAGAAAACTTGTGTAGTGGAAATAAAATTGAGTTGAGAGACATTGTGGAAGTCTTAAGAAACCAAATTAATCTTGAAGCAGACAAGCCCAATTTTCTAAGACTGTTGAAATGTACTTAATATTTGTATCTTGCACAGAATAGTCAAAAAACAGGAGGTATCACGGAAAGGATTTGACCTCAGAAGGTACTGACATTTATGGTGGGATGTGTTTTTTTCGTTTTCATTTTAAATATAAGAGATATCATTGAGTAAACAGTCCAGAGACATCAATATATAATTGATATATACTGAGGCATCAATGACAAAGAAGCCAAAACAACACAATGGAAATATGAAAGCATCTTCAAGAAATGGTGCTGGACTAACTGGATGTCTGCAGGTAAAAGAATGCACACAGATCCATATTTATCACCCTGCATGAAACTCACATCCAAGTGGATCAAGGACCTCAACATAAAACCAGATACATTAAAATTCATTAAAGAGAAAATAAGAAATAGCTTTTAGTATCAGGGTGGGGGGATACTCATGTTGACTCTCACACGCTCAGAGGAGAAGGGAAAGGTGATGGGGGAAGGATTGTGGGAGTAGGTGATTGGGAGAGGGGCAAGGAGTGGGATGTAAAGTCAGTAAGTAAGAAAAAAATAATAATATATATTAAAACAAGGCATAAAGTATATATAATGACTCATATGGCCGAGCAAGAAAATCCCCGAAACACAGTAAATCTTATACTGTTGCAGGATTGCTTTGGATATTGGGGAACTGGTCTAATTTCTTTTTTAATGCAGTGACAAAATTTCCCAACTAAGTAATGTAGGAGAGGAAAGGAGCTTATTTCAACTATAAGATACAGTCTGATGTTGGAGCAAGTCAAGAAACGAACTCAATCAGGAGGTTGATGTAAACATCAAACTAAACTGCTTTTTGTATCACGAGCATGTTCATAATTAGCAAGAGTCTGCATCCAGCCCAGGACCACCTTCTTAAGAATGGTGCTGCTCACCATGATTTGGGCCCTCTTATGTCAATTAGAAGTCAAGATAATTCCCCCACAACTCCCACTGTGCATGGGGAATTATCTTTTATGTGTTAGAGGATAGTCTGCCATCTTAGATAATAGTTGTTCCTGGACTCTAAAAATTAATCATCTTGCCATTGTCTTTTTCTCTTCTTCCTTTTCCTTTCTCTTCTTCCTCCCCTGCTACCTCCTCCTCCTCTTCCTTTTCCTCTTCCTCCTCCTCCTCCTTTTCTCCTCCTCTTCCTCCTCCTCCTCCTCCTTTTCTTCTTATTCTCCTTCCCTGCAAATTATACATATTTATAAAGAGTAAATGCTTGGTAATTGTTTTGGAAATAAAAATGATTAGGAAATAAAAATGAATGTTAACTTTGTTATAAGTTATGTTCCCACATTGTTGAATAAATGAAATACATACAGACACATAAACTTAATTTTTTTATTTTGTAGAACAACAGATAGAAGGAATCAGAAAAGTCAAGAATGTATTGTCCATGAAAACAGTTTTCTCTTTCTTGTTGTAAATCATTTAATTGCAATTTCATATTCTAAGATAATGCCTATTCCAGTGTCATGTTTTCTTGGTGTTTTTTTTTTAAATAAATAAGAACTGTTCCCAAGTTGTTTTCAATACTGAACCTTTAACACTTAAGCATCATGAACAATGTTGATGGTAACACATATCTGTCACAAACTTAGATGGTGCAGTTCTCTCAGCTTTTCTAGAAGAAATAGTTTGAAAACATTTTATTTTATTTTTTAAAATAAAGTTACTCATGTAGAGTAAGACTAGAAATATGAGTTGGACTATTTTCACTCTAACACTGCCTCATGCACCCACTAGCTTGAATATTCTCTTCAAGAATGATGGAAAGCAGAAATTTAAGACTTTAGGTGCTGGAATTGCCATTGATATGTTCATTGGCCATCAAACCAAGTATCATAGCTACAAATCTGCCTTGCATTCTTTCTTCTTCAGCTCTCAAAGCCTCTTGATACAATGATGGGAAGGCAGTGGGAACAGTGTTATGAAGTTTAGCCAGAAACTCAAGGACTCTCATTTTGCTGGTTTCATATTGGGCCCGGGGACCCCACAAGAATTGACGACATGGTATACCATTGATGGGTATCTGCCGATACCGTAGATACCCCTCATTCACGAAATCTTTAGTGATGAGCTTCTTGACATTTCCATAGATGCTGTGATTTACTCCAGCATATACCCCCATCACACTAAGCACTTCCCAGATGTAGTCCTCATTAACACAGTTGCCATTCATAAAGATCAGACACAGCATCAACATCAAGAGGCCATTCCTAGACTGGATTGTCTCACCATTCAGAATTTCATCACCATTAGGACTGAGTATGTTGACAAAAGCATATCTATGATTGATTGGGTCAATTTCCTTAACATCAATGCCAAAGGCCAACACCATGAGTTCAGAGGCTTTCTTAAGAATCTCATGGAAATCGTCCTTGTTCGATGGAATGACACGCTTTAGTATTTCTTCCTTTGTTATTGGCTCCTTCATGTTATATTTTTGCAGCATGAACTCTACCAATGAAACTGCTATGTCATCTTTCATAGTTGAAGATGAATTACCAGTTGGGGACAGTGCCCAGGAAGTGCTTGGAATCTCATCATCTTGGCTCTAGTTATCTTCATCAGATTTTATGCACAGAGCACTTACAGAAGCAGTGGTGGGCTGTTGAGAATTTTTAGATTCGTCAAGTGATTCAGAAACAGAAGAGTGCTGAACATCAGCACTACAAAAGGGAGAGAAAGAAGGAGTCTCCTCTCTCTCTTCTGCTGCAGTGGCCTGAGCATCCTGCATAGAGTGGGTTTCACTTCGGGCCTGGCGTCGTTTCTCACGGGCCCAGAGCTTACTATTATGGCCACGAGGCATAATGACCCTGGTCACGGAGTGTGGAGAGTAGAGCGGGTGATTCAGGCACCTAAGGATGGAAGAGTAGAAGGTATGTGTATCTAAAGAAAGTTGAGACAAACTTTCTCTTTAAACCAGGCTTGCCTATAGGCTGTATACTGGATTCTGTGAGAACAATGCTTTAAGAACCTATAGCCCTTTTCCCAATTCTTCTGCCCCACAGAGAACTCATCAAAAGAAATTAAAGAAGGACTATTGCATAGATTGAGGCCTGGTAGACCTGTCTAGGGCACTAACACATGTAAATTCTGTGACGTAGAAAATGATCATCTGACTTTGTCTTTCAAATCATTATGCCAAATTTCCCATCTATATCTCCTCTGAAGCTGTATCAGTGACCAATTCAAAAATGAAGTAGAGCCCTAGCCAACTACTCTTTCTTTGATTTCCTTATAGAAGCTAAACAACACGCTATAGCTCAATATCCCTACACCTTGAAGCCTCACTCCCTAACAAGCCCACCAAAGAGCCTCTCAGGGTACACACAAGAACAAAGGTCTGTGTCTACCCTTTATTGTGATTGTGACCATTCCCTGAGCTCTTACTCCATATATTATCCTTTACTTATCATAAACCCAAGAAATGTTTTCTTTTGCTGACCTGAGTTCACTAACCTCAGCTCAAAATCTTCATTTCCTCAGAAGTGAGAGGAAGTCCGGAATAACTGCCATAGCCAGGAGTCTCTTAGCGTTGGGGTGGGGGAAGGGACAATGTAGGATTCTGTTTACATGTCACAGAGAGCATGGGGCAAAGTTCGAAATGTCATCACTTTAAACTTTAAATATTCCTGACATGTTTTTTCCTCTGAAGAAAACTCCAAACAAAGAAGTGAAAGTCAGTATTATCTTGGGAATTCTCAGTGATGAATGCACGGGAGGAGCTTTTGGCAGTGCTCTTGATTTTTGAGTTGGATATTGTCATTGCATGGGATTGGGTGTTCACCACATGCCAGAGGTGGGGCAAGGGGGTAGAGATCTTCATTTTGGTTACTTCAACTACATGAAAGCTCTGAGCTGTTTCCCAATTTCAAGCCATGGATCAGATTTGGGCACTAGTTACAAATGCGCGGCTACCAGCATCTCAGAATAGATGTTGGGAATTTAAAAATACACTATAAGTTTGATTCTGTTCACCAGTTAATATTAGACTTTGGAATCTTGTATATACTTTTTTGATTGTCAGAACTTGAATTGTACAATGTTTTTTTTCTCCACTTATAGTCGGTTATATATTTATTCACTAAGAAATATGTTGTGTGTATTATTTTGCATAAAAGACTACTTATCCATCTTATGTATGAAACATTTAGGTTCTTATACTTGATATGTTAATGTTTTTATCCATTATGCAAGTAGCTTGCCACCATTTGATATACTACTATTTTAAAGACTATTTCTAGAAATAGAAAAATAAAGATTTTATAAGCTTCTAGACTCATACTGACTCAATTCAAACCTTTGAGGTGCCTCGGTATTAGTTTTACATTACAAGAAAAATTTGAGGCACTGACTCATGTCTCTCAGTAATTCAGTAGAGATTCATTGTCTCAACTTACATACAAAAGAAGCTAGACACAAATGTTAAAAATTTCCTCCAACTGACTCTGTTGACTTCCTCAAATATAGACTACAGACTTGTCTATACTTCAGGGTATATGCCTACTTCCCTATATAAAAGTAATACTTCAGCCAATACTAACTCTTTCTCATGGATTCTTAGTTTTGTTATTTATTACTAATATTTCTTTATTCTGCTTATTTTTTCAATGATTAAATATCAGGAACAACAATCCAAGTCTAGTCAGTACATTGGATGCTGAATGAAAAGCAGTGTCTCAGGTTTTTGTTGTTGTTGTTGTTGTTTGGTTGGTTTTAGATTTCCATAGCAAAATATGGTAAACTCTTTTCAGATTTGATAGAATACAAATTAAATCAGCATGTTTGTTTAGAAATAAATAGGACAAGCACATTTGATTATTTTTCTCACATTTAGTTCACTTGTAATCTCTCTTCTGGAATTTTCTAAGATCTTAAATTTGTATTTTGCTTTTCCTATGATCTACAATACTTATCAAGAAAATGCCCTACAGATGTGCCTAAACACATATATAATAGAATAATTTTCTAAGTTGTGGCTCCTTCCCAGATAACTGTGGCTTTTGTCAAGTTGAAAAGGAAAATAAAAAGAGAAAAAAAAATCTGAGCTTTATATCCAAATAAAATTACATTGAATGTTGAGATTTCAATATATAAAAGGAGAAGCACAATTAATTCTATAGTAGATACTAAATATGTTAATCATTTAAGAAATGACTTTTTATATTAGATCTCTCACATTGAACAAATATTCTGATTTACTTATTTGACTTCTTTTCCCGTAGCTTATTTTTATAGTTGCTTACAAAAATTATGTTCATTGTTATTGTGTTCATTTGTGGATAAGTTTTGATATTTGTTATTATGCTTATATTACTTATCTTGTTTGTTGGTTTCATGTGGCAAAGTTCTTGGCCTCAGTGATATATTTAGCAGCTTTTGGGTTTCTGATTAACTTGAATATTTTATAAAATGATTCCTTTGGATTTTTTAACTAGAGACTCATATCATCTATTATTTCTGTTTCAATATTCCTGTCTTTAATATAGTTTGGAGTTTCACTACTGTGGTTATGTACTTCCATCCATGGTTAAATAATAGGTGGTGTCATATATCTGCATCTTGTCCTTGACTTTAACCAGATGTTCCTAAAATTTCAGATTTAGTATAGCATAATATATATTCTGTGAAATTAAAATTCTCTTCTAATGAACCTGTTTTGTTGTAATGAGAGACAAAAGAGGAGTGGATCTGGATGGGGAGGAAAGTGGAGTGGAACATGGAAGAGTAGAGGGAAGAGAAACAATAATCACAGTGTACTATATGAGAATCCATTTTTAATAGGCAAGGGATGTTCAAAAACGAAAATTCTCTTCTAAGGCAATTTTGCTGAGTTTTCTTTTTATCTTAAATAGTTGTTAAATATTTTATCAAAGACTTTTTAATGCACATGTATTATGGCCAAATATTTTTTATCCTCTAACTTATCAATGTAAGGAAATTCCATCTTGATTTTATACTACAATATATTTGCAATTCATTATCTACTTATTAATTACTTCACTGAATAATACAAATTGATTTATAATGCATGTCTCCACACACAAATGAACTTGGCTCAAGGTATCATTGTTTTTAAGGATTTATTTACTTGATATACATTTGTCCATATGGATTTGTGTGCACCACATTTATATATTTACCCTCAGAAGCCAGAGATAACAGGATTCCCTAGAACTGGAGTTACAAACAATTTTGAGCCCACTGATATGAATGGTGCAAAACAAATCCAGGTCCTCTACAAGAACAGTACACTGCTCTTAAATGCTGTGCCATCTCTTCAACTCAGAAGACATGTTTTTGTGGGGTTTTTTTGGGGGGTTGAGTAAACATTACTTTGACTTTGCCCCAAGAGCAATATAAGAGTTGAAGTGAATTCAATAATTTATCCTTTAATATAGTATAGAACAGTTTTCATAAGGAAGCAATTTGTTTTCTTACAACCACTTTGAGAAACTGGACTTCAAATTTGACTTTTCCTGGAATATTTTAAGGAGAGTAGACCGGTATCTTGCATAGAGTCTCAGATGTGACATCTAAGTACAGTCAATCATAGAAAACTATATTATACTTCATAAATATCCTGAAAAGAATTCATTCATCAGAAAATGTTATAATAGCAAGAAGGGGAAAAAGGGTGGAAGGGTGAATATGGCAAGCATTGGTTATAAAAAGAAATCTATAAAGTTAATCAAATAGATTATGAAAGGTAATGCTGTAGAATATAAAATATGCATATTTTGAATCATATGAATGATGAAAACGTAATATACTGGTTATTTAATAAACTATTTTAATAAGTACAAGGGTTCTGTTTTATTGAGAAATTTTTAAAAGAAGATTGTAGTTGCAAGATTGTGACACACTAAATAATATTTTTGAAAGACTATCTACATATTGTGTCAATTTTATCATGAATAAATAGCGCAATTAATATTATCAAATTATGATATTGTCTGATGAGGTTTTCAATGTATATAGTGGCAATGTTCAAAACAACAATCTAATAAAGTAGGAATATCAAAGAACCTAGTAAGATACTGAAGTTTCTACACTCAAAATGATACCTTCAAAGATTTATATTGTCAGACTGAGATAAATTACATATAAATATGATAATCCCTTAGTTACCCATGAAAATTGTATAAAGTACGATTTTTCATTAATTTAAATTTTTATATTAAAGCTATTTTATCTCTGAAGTTCAACTAACTCACTAAAAGCAAGAATGGGAAGCAGAAAAACAAAAATATCAAAAGAAGATAAACAAAAGAGCACCAATTAAACCATATATTAGAGTGAGAGAGTTAAATGTTACATTTAACATTGCTCACACTGCACTCATATTACCTGGAGTTCATTATCCATCACCTACATAACAAGCCGTTATTCCCCCATAAACACCTGTAGCTTAGCTCTGAGGAGTGATGGAGAAAAATTATTGCTGGGACTTACTTGTCTCCAGCCTAGGTGAAAAGTAGGAAACCCAAATTTATTGGTGAGAAACCCAAATTTAGCAGTGAGAAAGAGGGAAAAAAATCATAAAATCCAGGAGAGACCTTTGCTTGAAAGTAAAAAGATGAAAAGTGATAAAGAAGGACAGGCCATGTACTATTCTGGCCTCTGAATTTCTACATTCACACACACATACAAACACACAAGCACGCACACACACACACTCCCACAGACACATAAACACATATCATATAATAAAATGAATTAATCCTTTTGGAAACATCACAAAGCTTGGCTAGAGAAGTGAGCCAGTGGTGCAGACTGTGTACTGCTCTTGCAAAAGGCCTAGTT